AAAAAAGACATTTAACGGATAATTGTGCCATGCTGTCACTTAACTGACAGAAGGACTAAAAAGGGGCCGGATTTCAAACAGTAAGGATCAAAAAGGAGATTTTTTCGGTATAGGGACTAAAAAGGGGCTTTTTCCTATAGTAGAGGGACCAAAAAGAGTATTTAACCTAAAAAAATGTGATGTTTTTCTAATGATTTTAACTCTGCCTAAATTGCCTCTTTTCATTTTAGCCAATTGCTTCTTTGTTAGGAATTTTCAATTGATTTTGGTTTGAGATCCTCATTTTCATTGCTTATAGCTTGCACTATTGCATATGCAAAAATATCATTGATAATAACTTCATTTCGGTTTCATCTCATTTAAGTAAAAACATAATTTATTGAGATCTCATTATTATCTATAATTTCCACATCTCTTTTTTTTAGATATCTAAACTTTGCAAGAGCTTTTATTATTTTAGTGGGGCTAACATTATGCTTATGCTTTCTTTTCACTCTTGGATTTTTATCTTTGGAACCAATAGGTCTACCATGCTTTTGGTGTGGATTCATTTGCTAATATTTTAGTATTCTTTTTAGCAGAAATATTAATTCAACTAAGAGAATTTAAAGTTGGAATATGTGATTTGGTCACCTTCTTTGTATCAATGAATTCATCAGGCAACTAATCTGTAATCTTTTTGCAAATGAATGATTTTCTAAACTTCTAATTCACATTGCCTTATTTGAAGGATCTAGATGAAACTTAGATGATGTATCCTAAGTTATTTCCTACTTTTCAACTTTTGTTTCTTTCATCCTAATACTGAGAACACATTTTTATTCAAATGATAATTAGTAAATCTGGCTGTGAAAAGGTCATCAATCATTGGTTCAAATATTTCATAATAGATGGTGATTCAAAACCGACATAAATTCCCAGCTTTTTCTTGGAACCCATTTTGGTACATTGTAGTGGGGCAATATGAACATATACAGCACAACAAAAAATCTTTAAATGAGATATATTTGGTTTAATCCCAATAACAAGTTGTAATGTTGTATGTTCTTTATAAGTAGTTGACCTTAATTGAATAAGTACACTAGCATGTAATATAGCATGACCACAAGCAAAAGGGAGCAATCATGATTTCATAAAGAGCAGTCTAGCAATCAATTTTAAATGCTTAATAAGAGATTTAGTCAAACCATTTCGTGTATGTGTATAGGACATTGGATATTCAACCATAATCCAAATTGACATATAATAACCATTAAATGCTTAGAATATGAATTCTCTTGCATTTTAAAGTTAGATATTTTTTATTGTATGATTTGGAAATTGTGCTCTTAATTTTATAATTTGTGCAAAAAGTCTTGCAAATGCAACATTGTGTCTAGATAATAAACACACATGTGACTATCTTGTTGAAGCATTTATCAACACCATAAAATATTGAAATGGTCCAAACAATGGTGTATAGGCCCACATATATCTCCTTGAATTTGTTATAAAAATAAAGAAGATTCATTTCTTATTTTATTTGCAGATAGCCTAATAATCAAGTTACCAAGAAAAAAAGCACCACACAAAAAATCATTTGATAAAAAAATGTAATGGGTGTTTATATGAATTTTCTATAATTCTTCTCATCATGATTGCACCTGGATGCCCAAGTTGATTATGCCAAAAGTTAAAAATATCTAATTCAGCTAACTTATGGTTAGTCACAATATTAAATTTTATTGGATTTATATGTGTATTTAGACAAAAAAAAGGTTAACATTTTTTCCAATATTTGCTTTTGACTAGCTGTGAAAGTTGTGACTTGGAAGAATTCTATCTCATTTTTACTTCTTGTTTCAATATGAAAACTATTATAACGTATATCTTTAAAACTTAGTAGATTTTGATGTGATCTACTATAACACAAAGTATTGTATATTAATAATTTTATCTTTCTAGGTAATAAAATACAAGCTCTTCTGAAGCTTTCATTTAAATTTCTCATGCTAAATATTGTATGAACATTAGCTTCAGCTAATCTTAACTGGAAAAAATAATTTTTATTTTTCAAGATGATATGTGTTGTGCTACTGTCAATGTGATAAACATCTCCATTATTAATATTAACATTATATTCATCCATTTTGTGCTAAAAGAGAGAAAGAAATGAACAGACAAAATATTTAAATGTTATAAAAGACAACATATATTTTGTAAGATGACGAAATCTTTTACTAAATATAAAAGAAACTAGAACATAACATATGAAAAGAAACCAACAATGAAAGTAGAATAACTCAAACATATTAGTGGACATTTCCATTGCTAACACCATATTTCTTTTCTCAACATTCTCAGAAAAAATTTGAAACGTCTATATGCATATCCAAATCCATGTTATTGTGTTCAAT